AAGCTCTCCAGGACTGGACTCTCCCTACTGCGTCTATCGTGCCCTGTGCTCCCCAAGACCAACTCAAACTCTCTTTATTCATTTTCAAAACTCTAACCAATTACAAAACAGTAAAAAGACTCTAGGGCGTAACCTTCAATCATAAAGCCAATCACACTAAGTACTGAATACGTCATATCTTTTGATTAATCGTTCACTACATTAATAACTACGGATACCAACTGTCAGAATAGCGACGGTTATCTCGTAATTAGTTCCAAATCACTGAGCCAAGTTCCGTCCAAAACTTCAAATAGGCCTAAACGATGACAGACATAACACAGCAATTCAGCTAATAATCAGCTAATTAAGTCGGTCAACAGATACGCAAAAACAAATTCATGACATCAGCATCGCCGCGCAGCAAGTTTCGCAAAGAAGTACTTGAAGTTCAATTGCACCCCAAAATGATGTCACTGATCACTCAGTTGTTGCATCGTGTGTTGTGTCATGTCATGTCCATGATGCACCCCGTTTCGACTTTGGCTTGCTTTTCCTGCTTAGTGCATGTTCTTGTTCACGTAAAATGCGACCTCTCACCAACGTATTAAAACACTTTGAATTTATACTTTGAATGATTATATTTGGTCAACGCGAAACATTATTTTTTCTAAACATTTTCTGAGACCATTTTTATCAACGCAGGGTTATTTTTTCAGACAAGATGGGCTTCGTAATATTTGCCATAACATCGCCCGGGCGTACTTTTGGTCCACATTTTTCTAAAAAAAATCGAATCCTCCATAAGATCGCCCGGGCGGGGTATCGGCCGAATCTGGTAGTGCTGACTTAGAGCTAACTGATTATAACAAATCCGATAACGGTACACTCTGTATAGGCTGAGAGTAATTCAAACATATCTGTACTTGAAGGCATGTATATCACGTAAGTAAATATATGCTGTCATGATGGCCCGCCCTGTGTTTAGAGAACCGATTGTACTGTTGACGCTGTTCAACATAACAAAGGGACTTGAATAAATTAATTGCGCGGTACGCCATCTTGCTCAAGTTAGCACCCACTTTCAACGAAAC